CACCCACATACTCTATGAAGATACATCCCTTTGAGCAACTGGCTACAGGGCACCAGAGGGGCAACATTTACACAGAGGAAAAGCAGGACACACAGGCATGCATACTGACAAGGGCATGGTGTGTGTGTGTGGGGGGATTGGTTACTGGGAAAACAGTTTAGTGGGTTAGGGTTGTGGATGGTAATTGGGGAGTGAAACCAAATATACATGAAATGCTGAATATAAAACAAATTCTGCTCTGTATATTTGTACCTAAAGCATGACAAAAAAAAAAGAAGAAGAAGAAGAAAGAAAATCACTGAGAAGAAAGGATGTATGTCTGAACAGCTTTTTAATGCAGACAAAAGTGCCCTATTCTGGGTGGAAAAAAATGCCCTAAAGGATATTTATTAGTAAGGAAAAGCACCAGAATTTAAGGCAGGAAGGTACAGGCTAATCAACTGTTTTGTGCAAATGCAGTTGTGTTCATAATCAGGGATGTTTATGTTATCAGTATAGGCACATACAGATCAGTAAGGTCATTGTTGTTATGTGCTATCGTGTCGGACCCAACTCATAGCGACCCCTCCTTGGGTTTCTGAGGCGGTATCACTACAGAAGTAGATTGCCCAACCATTAAGGTCATTAGCAGTAAGCTATTAGTAGTTAAGTTTTTTGGGAGTCAAAAGTCATCCATGGATTTTTGACTGTGCAGAGAGTCAGCACTCCTTCCCGCCATGTTGTTCAAGCGTCAACTACACTATACTATCTTGGTTATCTACTGCTGCTATAACAGAAATACTACCAGTGAATAGCTTCAACAAACAGAAATTAATTCTCTCATAGTGTAGGAGGCTAGAACTCCAAATTCAGAACACTGGCTCTAGGAGAAGGCTTTCTCTCTGTCAGCTCTGGAGGAAGGTCTTTGTTGCCTTTCAACATCTGTCTAACCAGCATCCCTTAGAGATCTATATGTGACCTGGCATCAATCTTCTCCTGGGTCTAGGAGGTTCTAAGCACAAAGACCCCAGGTCCAAAGTACATGCTCTGCTCTCAGCTCTTCTTTCTTGGTGGTAGTCAAGATCCCCGTCCTCTGCTCGCTTCTCTCTCCTTTCATCTCTTGTAAGATAAAAGGTGATTCAGGCCACACCTGAGAGCAAACCCCTTACATCATGTCAGGGATGTGACCTGAGTAAGGAAGGGTGTTACATTCTACCCTAATTCTCTTACAAATGAATGACTGATCACATCAAATTATATCATGAGGATGATTACATCATGACGTAAGTGCCAAACCACCGAGAACTGTGGTCGAGCCAAGTTGGCTGACACATATTTTTCACGGACACAAATCAATCCCTGACATACACTATTGTACTTAACTGTACTACTTCATACATGTGTAGGTTGGGTGGAGAATATTTAAATTCACTATG